GCCGAGCTTCCCTCTGCAGCCCCAGAGCCCGCCCTGCGCCGTCCTCGCTCCCTCTCCCCCAGCTCAGCCAGGCCAGCCTGAGACGCAGCGTGGCGGCCTCCAAAAAGTGCTCTCCACCATCCTCTGCCTCTCTTCTTCCTTTTTCCCCAGGATTTCTCCCACCTCCTAATTTCTCTCGCCTCTGCTTTCCCTTTCTCCTCCTCCCCTCCTTCCGACCCTCAGCCAGGGGCTGGCCTCTGGCCCCGCCCGAGTCCTCAGAACCGTCGGGCTCCCCGCAGGGAGGTGGGCAGGACCCCGAAGGAAAGGGAGGGAGACACTGGCTGCGTGGGCTGGGCGGGCCTGGTGGGACACCGCTGGAGAGAGTGCTAAAAGTTGTAACATCTGCCCGGCCGAGACCCAGGTGGAGGGGCGGGACCCAAGAGACGGCCCCTCCCCCGGGCGGGGAGCCCAGACCAGCTCGCCGGCTCAGGAGCCCGCCCCTTCCCCGGACTGGGAAAGCAGGGAGGGGGGCTGCTTGGAATTCGGAGGAACAGCTCCGGAATGGCCCAGTTAGACATCCCTGGATCCTTGTGAGTGCCAGCCCTGGAAGGGGCGCGCAGCATTTTCTACTTCAACCGGGTCATTCTACAGATGGAGAAACTGAGGGCCTGAAAAGGATGGGCAAGCGTCTAGGTCTCAGAGCGGTAAAAGGGAAGCACTCTGAGCAGGGGAAAGGCACCAGGAGGGAAAATGCACCTGGGCCGGCTTTGTTTCACGGCTTCTTCGCTGGTGGTCACAGTGGCTGCTTGAGTAGCAGTTTCCTTCCATGACCTGGTCCTTTGGCAAGTTCGGTCCCTGTCAGCCTCCCTCTCCTCAGACCCTTCCCTTCCTCATTCCGTGGTTCCCAGGTAGAATCTTCGAATGCCAGCCCCAGGAGCCAGAGGACAGGGTGCTGCATACATCTTATACCTGCTGGATCCCACATTCACGCGTTACTGGATTCCCTCCACACTTGAGCAGGCAAGCTCGGGACTCAGGCAAGTGTCCCATTGAGCTAGGTTGGGCAGTGCAGTTAAAGACTGAAGCCATCTTTCCCACCGCCCAGTGTCACTCGAGAATGTGGACCAGTATCTTAGATCGTCTGATTTCTCATGAAGAACACCGAGTCCAGATTAATAGGAGAATATTTCAACTGTTTGCTTTAAAGGAAAATTTAAGCATTGCAGGCCAAATCAAATCTGTCTAAAGAATATATCAAACCGTGGGGCCATTTATAACCGTAGTTCTGCATCACTGTCTTCCAAATTTTTAGCAGGCTGCATTTTCAAATGGGAAAACTGGACTAAACAGAATGAGCCAGGTTTAACTTTACTCCAAGGACTCTACATGTTTAAGATGCTCACTGCTGCTCTCCAGGAGCAGGCAGGTGAAGCTGAATCACACAGAGTTACATGACCAAGAATCTTTTCTCGGAGCTGCTTAGAAGGACCAGTGTCTCGGGAACTTGGGGAAACAATGGTGGCCTCAGTGCATCTTCCCTCCTTGTGCCTTTCCCCTGCCAAGATCGCTTTCCTTTTACTGAAAACCACTATGTAGGGAGAAAGAAACCAGACCTCCAGAATAGCAACCCCGTTGAGAATCTGCATTTCAAAATGAGGGCTGCGTGGGGCCAGCCGCCCCTGTTTGCTCAAAGCCCCATATTTAGGTGACCAGATTTATCAGAAGAGAAAACTGAGCCTGTTGTTCTGGCAGAAGAGACGTTGAGGACAGACAGGAAAAGCACAGCCTCCTGAGTGGAAGGTTGCTAAAATGGGGCTTCCAGGGGCTTCAGCCAAGGCTGTCCTGGGTATCAAAGTGGGACAAGTTGCCAAAGGTCCGGCTTTGCATCCTTTACTTGTCCCAGCCCTTTGTCAGAGGAACTAGTCAGGGCTGCCTTCCCCTTGCTCCACGCACAAAGAGAAACGGCAAGGTGGTTGGGGTGGGTTTTCAGCCTAGTCTGAAAAGGGCCGGGGGACAAGATTTACAAGTCTCTGTGAGGCTCTCCCAGGTAGGGACAAGACAGGCAGTATCCCGGTGTCCAAGACTGTAGGCTCTGACGTTAGAATGCTTGAGTTCAAATCTTGCCACTTATGTGGGATCTGGCCTTGTCAATTGCTTTGTAAAATGGGATAATACAAATGAGATAGACTTCAGTGGTCAGTAAAATGCCCAACACAGGGTAAGCACTCAGTCAACATAAACAGTTCTAATTCTTCTCTGTGCTTTTGAGAGGAAGAACTAAGTCCTGTGGATGAAAGTCACTAGGAGACAGATTTCAGGCCAATTTAAAGGATTGCTTTTATAGGAACTCTGGCAGCTTGCTTAACAAAAGGACGGCAGTAATGGGTGAATCACCATGTGGAAAGGAGTGGGTGGGCCTCAGTCCAACTCTTGTTCTCCAGCATTCACATTTCTCTTAGGAGGCTCTTGATAATCACCAGAACCCGCAGTGGCCTCGGAGAGCACTATTTCCCCCTCGATGGCTGTGGGGACGTAAACACAGGACTTCAGCTTTTGCTTAAATGCCGTTACACAGCTGGGCCAGGCTGGAACATTTAAACCAGACATTTCTAAAGGCTCAGGGATGACAAGATGGAAATAAACACAAAGTGTGATGGGAATCCAGGTCACACCACTTTCAAGATTGGCTACTTATCTTCCCTCTGTGTTCTCTCCAGGATGCTTACCCACCTTCTAGGACAGTGTCCATCAGCCCTACCTCCACCCAGCTAGACTCAAAACTCCAAGGTGTCTCACGTTCGGGCTCAAGAAAGAAGAGGCAGAGAAGCAGGCATTCCCTACCCCACAAACTAATCTAGCTTTTTCATTTGCCATACCAGCCCCAGCCACTTCCCGGGTGGTTGGCATCAGAAATACCCACCTATACAAGAAAGGGTCTTCCCCATTCACACACATAGGCTCGATCTCATAACCACATTAAAACACTACAAGAACCTAACGTCTGCCCACGAAATGCAGATCAGATGTGGCAGGGGTGTGGTTTTGTTACTTCCTGTCAGAGATTTCACGCCCATTGATGAGGTCCGACTTCAAGAAGCACTGAGTTTCCTATATCTAGATCTCAGCAAGAAGACCTTAAAGGGCCTATTTGCCAAGGTAGCAATCGAAGAGATTCCTGAACTAAACCATGGGGCAAAACTGAAGAACTTTGAAAGTTCATTCCAATAAAATGTCATTATTCTGTTTGTCCTCGGATAGCTCTTTAGAATGTAGAAATAAAAAATCTGAAAAATTGGATGAGTCTGTTTTGTGGCCTTTCGTTTGCTGCTGTGTGTACGTGAGTGTGTGCATGCACACATGAGTGAATAAATGTGTATATATGTTTGGTAACCTTTGAATTAAAACTATCTTTGTATCAATATTATTTCCTTCTAAGTTATTGCGCTTGGCAAAGACTTTGTGCACAGAATTATGGTTTATATCTAGAGATCCCTCCCCAAAGCCTCATGTGCTCCTAGGTGGAGTTTGGAGGAGGCTATTAGATCAGATGGGGGTGTCCACTGATGAGTTTACAGCTAAATGTGATATTAGGAAGTGAAGCTGGGTCGGAGGAGATGGGCCACTGGGGAGTGGCCAGGAAATGTGCATCTCCCTCCTCTCTTGATCCCTCTCTCGCTCTCTCTCTCTCTCTCTCTCTCTCTCTCTCTGCTTCTTGTCACCATGCCACGAGCTGCGTCTCCTCTGCTACACTGCCCTGCCTTAGACCCAACTGACTATGGACTGAAACCGATATAAACTGTGAGCCAAAATAAACCTTTCCCCCTTAGGACTGCGGGTGTCTGGTAGTGTATGTCAGTGAAGAGACAGAAACTAAGACACACAGATTATATACATTGTCATCCCTTCACTAGAGGTCGAACTGTCTAGGCTGGACCACTTAAAGAATACAGGAAAACACCGAACACCTTTGAACAGTCAGAAATACCGTACCACAGAGCTCAATTCCTTCCCTAAGAGGAGAGCTCCCCACGCCTTCCTTACTCTGAGCCTCCTGATTCTTCATACACAATTCTCATG